TCCTAAGTTTTAAACTAAGCCTTTGTCTTCAGGGCCTAAATTTTAAGCTAAGCCTCTGCCCCCTCAACCTTGACAAGTGTTTTTACCCATTCTCAGGGGCTAAAGTTTGTGAAGTACAACGTATCATTTGCGGTTTAAATTGAGTGATAAAGCAGTGGGGTCCTGGGGTATCGGTTTCTTTACTTGGTAAATTCTTCAAATATTTATCATTGTCAAATACATATAAAAACAGTAAACTTTTATTCCAGAATATACATTACTCAACAGGAAATTACTCCTTTACTTGTCTTTGGCATTGCTTGACTTTTATTTGTAATTACAAAGCTCAATTTTGAATCAAATGAAACCTAAACAATGAAAATCATAGAAAAGAATGCTCCATCTTTGTTTGATATGAGTTGGAGACGAGTGAAGATAAGATATGAAATCTTCAAGTCTCCAGCCCTCAACCGGATCAGAGACAAACAACCACTCGATCTTGCATCCATGGTGGTTTCCATCATGGCCGTTGATGATGAATGCTTGCACTGTTGTAACATGTGGTGGTTGCCAATGATCTCATAGCCCAAACAACCGTTTGATGCGATCCATCATCAGTATCTTCTCTTTGATCCACACCATCATCAGAAGATGATGGTACTGTGCAGTAGCGGCTCAGACCAGGTTGGCAAAAGGACTTGTGCATGTTGCAATAATCTACCAAGAAAGCCAAACTTCTGCTGTGTTGATGGCTGCAAAGAAGGAACCTGAAATATATATGTATTTTCTGTTGTAAGGTTTCAGTTTGATTTTTTTTTTTCTGTGAAAATTTAACCTCATCACCTACAAACCACAAAGGATTCTTCAGTCCCGAAAAGTGACCATAAAAAAATCGAGGGTCCGGAGGAGAATTGGCCATTCAATCTTGTAAACTAATCGAGTCCGAAATATGAGTACCTTATATATAAAGAATATTGAGAATATTTTTTATATTGAAGTATCAAGTACATGAAAAAGCCCATATTTTATACATGTATTTCGTAATTATATCAAAGCAAAGCTGTTTTAGGCAAAAGTTTGCAATTGCAACCAAGTATTATAGCAAAGCCTTTTAAGTTGAAATACAAGATATTATTGTTCTGGTTATTCAGACTGAAAATTTGAAATCATAGGATAATAGCCAACACAAAATCTCATTGAAAGGGGCTTTGCAACTCAAGTGATTAAGAGTACTCATTATTTTTCTCTTTTTTGTTACATGGCGGAGCAAAGCCCATAAGCAAAGAAAAACTAACAAAGAACACTTCGAGGCAAAGCCCAACTTAAGCTATCATCATCCAAAATATACTCAAGAGAAGAAGGCAAAACATCATAACTACGCAAACCCAAAGATAACCTGGTTCGATTTCCCCCCTCCCTCAAATATATCTCGCTTGTATCATCAAAATAAATTTTAAAAAAAATAATAATAATAAGAGCTCCTAACACTAGACTGTCCTATTGATTTTATTGGCAGTCAGTATACTTCAAGGACACAATGTTGTTGTTGAAGTCAAACCCAACATTAGCGTTCCTGTGCTGGTACAACCCAAAGATATTAAAATTTCCAACACTCTCTCTTATGGCCAAGCAGAAGTGTCCCTGAGAATTCCTGATCCAAGTGTTTCCCGCGGCCAGAGGAAAATCCAGCCTCGTGAAATGGAACACGATTTCCGGCGTCGTCTCTAGTTTAAACCTACCATCATTGTAGCAAAACGGATAGAGCTTATCCGAATCTTCTACCGGCTTGAATTCCGACAAAGCATCCAGCACCGCTTGCTTCACTGCACCAAAACCCTCCGGTGCAATCAAAGTAAAAGACGTGCCGGAATCCATGATCACGCCTCCGTCTCCCTCCGGCGTCATGTCAAAAACCGACCTCGGAATGTTGAGCCTGGCGCCGTCGACGCTGATGCCTTCTAGACTCAGATAGTACAAGCCACCTTTGCCGCTCAGCATAGGTGTTTGAGTGTTCTCCTCAGTGATCACCGCCGGGAGGCCGATTTTCACAGAGCTCCGGTTGCCTTTGTCCTCCGATGGGATGCAATACGACACGTGGCGAAACCCAATCTGCCCGACCAGGGAAGAAGGTTCTCTGTTGAGACCTACAACTCCTGGGCTATAGTCTTCCACGGTGTCTAGATTGTAGTGGCCGCATCCAATTACCATGTTCGATAAGTTGACGTTGCCGCTTAACCCGTCGTCTTCAAGCATTAGGGTTTCTGTGGCGATATCTCCTTCTGTTAATGATCCGTCTTGATACTTTATCCTGTACTTGCATTCACCATCTTCAGCGCATGAGGTGTATGCAGTTGTGCTGCATTCGACAGAGCCGCACTTGACCTTTTGGTAGCTTTCAGACTTTGCAGGATCGTATATTGGTATGGTTTGCATGTAGCATTTCTGGCAGGGCTCGCACTGCATCCAGATCAAGGAGCTGCCTGTGTCGAAGATGCCGAAGGTGTCCACCCTCGGGGTGCCGATTTTGTACTGCATGATGAAGTCTCCGTGGGCCTGGTCAAGGGTTGCACTGATGAGGCTGCTGCCCCATTTGTTGCCGGACGACATAAGGCGGTTGAAGTAGTTTTGTCGGGCTATGGTTCTGCGGCGAGCTGATTGCGCAAGATGAGCACGTGTGGCCGCGGGGTTGTAGAGCGGGGATTCGGGGGAGTCGCGGTGGATGAGACGTGCAGCGAAGCCTTGGACAGGAGAAGACATGGAGTGAGGGATGGTGGTGATGATTAAAATTAGGGCAATGAGGGAGAATATGAGTGTTGATGATGCCATGGTTTGCTTCTTTGTTTGGAGGTCTAAAACTTGAGAGGTTGAATGTTTATAGGGTGGTGGGATGGGATCAAAGGTTTACGATTTGGGGTTTCGGCGTAACCTATATATATATATATATATATGGGATGAAGTTTAGGGTAACCTTAAAAGAATAATAAATGACATGATCGGATGTGATTGCATGGAGAAATTTTTAAATGTTCCAGGTACACCTGTCTGGTGTACCATCCAATAAACATAGAACATGTGGAATTGTTATCCAATTTACTGCATTTCTTCTTATGACATGTGGCGGACTGTATTGGACATATTCCATATGTCTTCCGTCTATTGGATGGTACACCAACCACGTGGTGTACCGGGAACACTCAAAAATTACTCGATTGCATGTGATTTGAGATAAATATTTGTAGTAAATCGGGAATGTAAATCTTTGTGTATATTACTCCATGTCAGTAATAAAGAAAATTATTACTCTCTACTTTCCTATTGTATGGTCAACTAAAATCCACCTTTTATCTTTCTTTTATTATTCTATTAGTTTATTTTTTTCTTTTTCTACAACATACCTTTTTATTGAGTCTACACCTGCAATCATACACACCAAATTTGCTAATATCGAATTCTTTAAGTTATATATATATATTAAAATTTGCTAATATCAATATATATAAAGCAAAAGGCAGAGAATGGTGAAACATTCAAAATACCATAAATGCCCTTGGTTAATACAAACATTAAGAATTGAGATTATTAATTAAATGAGGATAATATGGTAAATTCACATTTTTTCATATTTTAAAAAATTAAAATTAAAAGAAAAATCGGATAATGAATCCTATTTTTATGGAAAACAAATACCCATTATCTTTTTTAATTCTAAAATAAAATTTAATTTTTTTTAAAAAAAAGCCTCTCGCAGGCGCAGAAGCGCGTGCAGAGAGGCTAGTATAAAGTAAAGTTGCCGAAAATAAATTTAAAAATATAAAATTTAGTGTCGTTGCTCAATTTATAGAACCGGAAAAAACAACGCTAACTAATACGTGTCAAGTATGGACAAAAGTGGTGATGTGGTACACATTAAGTTAAAGCGGTGTGCAAATACAAACAATTGGATTGGATTACTAGAACTAGATTTATCAAAACACCATCAATCTTAGGGGTGTAGTTGAATGAAGATTTTGTAATTAGAACGACTTATTTTGTAGTGTCGTTCTCCTTGGAACGACAGGTAGATTATATATTATCAACTACCGACGAGTAAAATACTCAAAAACCTCCCCAAAATCTCCGCAAAGCTCTGAATGAGAGTTGCTCTATGTAGCCTCCTCTCTATCTTCATCCATGGAGGTTTTTTATTCTTCAACCCCAACCAACCGCAAAATTCTCTCTCTAAATTCACCTTTCCCTACCAATTTTCCCGCCAATTCTTGGAACAAGAAAAATCCATGTAGATACAACATTCCCAGCTTCGGGTTACACAAAAACCCATCATTTTCGATCTATTTACTCTCATGTCATAGCACAAAATTTCGAGCTTTAGCACACTTTGGTCGACCCATGAGCCGCAGAAATTCGCTGAGGAAGAAGCTTATTGACGAGCAAAAGGTGAACCAGATTTCCGTTCCTTTAAACCCAAGTTTTGATTTTCAGTTTTTGAATAATAATTTTGATGATACCGAGAGTCCCTTAGAGAAAGTGAACTGTGATAGTGTGAAAGAGAGTGAATTTAGTAATGAGGTTGTTGCTGGTGATAGTAGTGTAGCTGAAACGAGTAATGTAAAAGAACCAAATGCAAAAAGCCTTGGTGATTCTGTTTTGTTGAGTAAATTGGATAGTTGGATGGAGCAGTATAAGAGAGATACCGAGTATTGGGGTATTGGTTCTGGTCATATTTTTACAGTTAATCAAGATTCTGATGGTAATGTGAAAGTGGTTTCGGTTAATGAGGATGAAATCTTGAGAAGAAGCCGAGTTGAGAGACTGGAATTGGAGGACTCGGCAGAGGTGAACTTGAAAATTTTGCAAGCAGAGAGTTTGGCTAGAGAGATGGAGAGTGGGAAAAATGTGATTCCAAGGAATAGTTCGGTAGCCAAGTTTGTTGTTGAGGGTGAGGACTCGGGTTTTATGAAGGCAATTCAGGGTTTTAGTTTTCGACCAGAGTTCTTGCCGAAGATATCTAGATTTGGGAGACTGGTGTTGTATGGTTTCATTGCATTGTGGGCATTGAAGAAGTTATTCACTTTTGGAAATAAAGAAGAACGATACTCAGAGTTGGAGAAGGAAATGATGAGGAGAAAGATAAAATCAAGAAAGGAGAAAGAGATGTTAGAGAAGGGCAGCGTGGAAGTTGTTCAAGCATCTTCAGAATTGCCACTAGGTCCCTTTAAAAAGCCTAGCATTGATAAGCAAGAACTTATGAAGGCTATTATGAGAGAAAACTTGTCAAATGGCAACCTGGCTTTACAAGATTCTTCAACTTCCATGATCGTTGCCGAAAATACTGATTTTGATGATAAAGTTCAGGAAATCAGAAATATGGCCAGGCAAGCGCGTGACATCGAGGGTAGGGAACATTCTTTGGTTGGTACGGATAGAAAAGAAATTCAGACTGTGAATGATGAAATATCAGATGACACTGTGAATGATGAACTTTCAGATGAAATTTTGGATGAAATCGAAGTTGCCAAACAGCATGAAGAAGAGGGAGCAAATACTCTGACCAATTCTTTAAATGGAGATTGCAGACAAACTAAGGGTAGTGGTGATACTGCATCTCTTGAAAAGTTAGACTGTGCTAAGGATGGGGATATTCCAACTTCTAGTATTCCACATATAGAAGTTTCAGATGATAGGCAAAGCAGTAACCAGGATGTAAGAGGCAGTGAACATAATTTACACTTAACAGATGATTCTCCTTTTAGGGAGTCCAACAAGCCCAAAAATAGTTCTATCCAAGTAAAACCAAGGGTCATAAGGTCTGTGAAAGAAGCTAGGGAGTACCTATCTAAAACCCGTGACAAAATAAAGCTTAATGAAGAGCCCCAGTTTGAACCTGTCACAGGAAGTGATGCTCTTGTACGGCTACAAAGTAATGAAGACTCTGGCAACAATGTGAGTCAGGGACCGGTCATGGTTAATAATATATTTGCACCTGAAGTTCCAGACAGAGCATCAGATTCTCCATCTATGGAAAATGCATGTGAACATTGTGATCTGAAGGATAAGAAGATTGATAAACCTGATGAAACTGAGAAAAGATACATCAGGGACGATGTTCAAAAGCAACAGGTTTCTTTAGATTGTGAAAGTAATGACAGTGATTCAATTACAGAGCCATCTGTAAAATATGAGAACTGGATGGAGGAAAACTTCAATGAATTTGAACCTATAGCTAAGAAGATTGGAGTTGGTTTTAGAGATAATTACATGGTTTCAAGAGAAAAGGGAGATCAACAATCAAGTATGAGTTCTGACATGACACATCTTGGGTCTAATGAAGAAGATGACAGTGAACTTGAATGGATGAAAGATGACAGTCTCAGGGAAATTGTTCTTCAAGTCCGAGAAAATGAGTTGGGAGGGCAAGATCCGTTTTATATGATGGATGCTGAAGATAAGGATGCATTCTTCAAGGGTCTTGAGAAGAAAGTTGAGAAAGAGAATAAAAAGCTGTCGAAACTGCACGAGTGGCTCCACTCAAACATTGAAAATCTTGATTATGGTGCTGGTAATTAATCTTTCTTAGGCTCATATATATTGATCCACTTTTCATCATAGAGGCAGATATAGATGTTTATTTATTTATTTTTTAAATATGAATGCATAAACATGAGATTTCTGATTTCAAAGTGCTTGGGGTAATAAATAAAAACTTTTGCTTTCCATGTAGAGGGTATCAGCTTGTATGATCCACCAGAAAAAATTATACCACGATGGAAAGGTCCCCCTTTAGAAAGGAGTCCAGAGTTCTTGAATTATTTCCAAGAGCAGCGCAGCGCAATTTTTGCTGGAAATGATGGGATTTCAGTGAAAAAAGATGAGCAGAACATTCTTCAGAAATCAACAGAATCCCAATCCCATGAGAATATTGCCACTTCTTCTGTAGTTGGTGACCCAAATAAGAAGGATAATAGAAATTCAAAGATAGTTATAGAAGGGAGTGATGGTTCTGTCAGAGCTGGCAAAAAATCAGGGAAGGAGTTTTGGCAACACACAAAAAAATGGTCCCAGGGGTTTTTGGAATCCTACAATGCAGAGACCGACCCAGAAATTAAAGCCACAATGAGGGACATGGGGAAGGGTTTGGATCGATGGATCACAGAAAAAGAAATACAGGAAGCTGCTGATCTGATGAACAAAATGCCTGAAAAAAACAAGAAATTCATGGAAAAGAAACTCAGCAAGCTTAAAAGAGAGATGGAATTGTTTGGCCCACAAGCTGTAGTGAGCAAATACCGTGAATATGCAGAAGATAAGAAAGAAGATTACTTGTGGTGGTTAGATCTTCCTTATGTGCTGGTAAGCTATACATGCGTTTCGACTTTTCTGCTATTTTGTTTTAGCTTGATTTACATTGTTAGTTCTTTTCCTGATAGTTTATGTTTTTGGAGTTTACTGGTTCTAACACACGGCATCAAAAGTTCCAGGAGGTCCTGGGTTTCAAACATCTCATCCTTATCCCCAACTATTTGTTTTCTAACCATCCATCTTGATTTTTAGTTTTATGTTAGATATTTTCCCAGATTATACAGAAAATACTCAACCAATAGTTAATTCTCTCTTGATTTCCCAGTGCATCGAGTTGTACACAGTTGATAATGAAGAACGAAGGATAGGATTTTACTCATTGGAGATGGCTGCAGATCTTGAATTGGAACCAAAGCCGTATCATGTTATTGCTTTCGAGGACACTAATGATTGCAAAAATCTTGGTTATATCATCCAGGCACAGATGGATATGTTTGGGAATGGCAATGCCTTTGTTGTTGCCCAGCCACCTAAGGTAAATAATGCGGAATTTAAGTTTTCAAGCAGATCATCATTTTTCAGTTGCAGTTGTTGGAAACTGCCGTGCAATTTATGGTCTTAGTAAATTATCATATCCCAAGAGAGGCCACTTAGGTGGAACATACCTGATTCTTGCTTTCCACGTATGTGACTTGTAATGTTTTTCCTTTTAATTCAAGAGACTCAAGATCTGGTGCTCTATGACTTTCATATGTTACTCACTGCTGGTTTATTGTGCTCTTTCTATCTAGTTGTTTTTAGTCCAATTTTTCTTGATCTGTTGAGATGCTTGACGTATTTATCTGAATCGTCTCTTATCTCCCCTCAAGGATGTTTTTCGGGAAGCCAAAGCAAATGGCTTCGGTGTAACTGTCATTAGGAAAGGAGAGGTTCAGCTCAACGTGGACCAAACTTTGGAAGAAGTGGAGGAACAGATCACTGAGATCGGGAGCAAAATATATCATGATGAGATCATGCAGGAGCGTTCTATGGACATAAGCTCATTGATGAAGGGTGTATTTGGTTTCAGCGGCAAACCTACTAAGAGGTAGTTTCATAATTTACCTGGCATGTGGCACACAAAAATCATTGCATTCTTTTTCGGGGTAGTCACGTTTTTTATCTTGGTTTGTCTTGATTTCAGAACAAGATCAAAGCAAACGATGAAGACTGCAATTGGATTCGGTGGCAAACCCGCTAAGAGGTAAATTCCATGTGTGTTGCTTTATCTTTGTGTTCTATTTTCGTTGTAGGCACATTTCTTACGCCTTGTTGTTTGATTGATTGCAGAAAAAGATCAAAGCAGACGCTGAAGAAGCCTAGCAAGAAAGAAAGGTGATGCTTGTTCATACATACTCCGAGAGACAGCGATAATCGACCATATGACCAGTTCATGGTAATGGAGGCTTTGGATGTGTACTCCGCATTCTTACGCAAATGCCGGGCAAACTCTCTGCAAGCGTTTGGAGATCCATGACTAGGTGCAAGCCATTGACCTTTCAAGCCACCTTAACCCGAGTCATTGTGGCAAGAAACTGCATCTGTTTGGTGGTAGCAAAGAGTATAAAGCCGCTACTGCCCCAGATTCATTTGCATTCTGTCTCACCCAAGGCTGGAGGTGGATTGCAGTTCAGCTAGCTCTCAATTCCCTGCTTGTGTGCGGCTGTTGAAGATTTGGTTTGTGGTGTACCATAACAGGTTCCAGCTCCTCACCATGGTCACTTTCTCCGGGAAGCCAGACAAAACTAATTAATTCTGGATACAATTCCCGCGCAGTGACACATCCATGCAGTTTCTCTGTGGATTGTGGGAGCTCATCGTAGGAACTGGGAACTGATATTCCCTTGAACTCCTTGTATTTAAGATATTAGTTTCAATGTTTGCTTTTTAATGTGTGAATAATATCCAACCTTACTGTATTTTGTTCTTGTAATACTGTAATTTCTAGTTTATTCAACATGCAAGCAGAATCATCGGCTTTGTTTCTTAAATGAAATTCAATTATTATTTCCTGGCCAAAAAGTTCCAGCAGGACTGAAATTCGAGACACTGCTTCCTTCCCTCTACTAGTTTTGAGGAAAGTTCAACATATATTCCACAATATCTGATGGCTCACTAAACCCAAAATCAATCGGATTGTATTTCCGTAATACCTTTAGGCCAACAAATTCACACATATTTACTGCCCTCTTAGTTGTTGTACATGTACCAAAATTTGGTTCTCTGTATACATTTTAGGTACATGCAGTATCTAGAAAGAAAATAAAAAAAAGGCATCCCAAATCTAACAAATGAAATTTCTATTATCAATACAAATTTGAGGTGCAATTACAAAAGCATGAGAAATTATCACGAAATGAATCATGACCAATGTCAAACAGAAGGGATTTTGGTCTACAATGGAAAAACAAATACGGAATGGACTTTGGTCTACAATGGAAAAACAAAGACGAAATGGATTTTGGTCTACAACGAAAAAACAAAGATGAAATTCTTGGAAGAGTAAAGGTTTGTATGGGCAAGAGGAGATCTAGTCGGCCTGCCATACAAACATATGTACGTCAATCACATGACATATACACTTATATACCTATGTTCACCACATGATCCAGTAGCATTACCATCAAGAAGGTGATCTAGCGATCTCATCAAGGTGACAATCCATGATTTCGGATATAGTCTCAAGAAAAGCATCTTCGCTTGAATCGGGAAGCACAGAATCCTCCGCTTCTTGCACTATCTCCTCAATGAGGGATTCCTTGTTCAAGGTCTTCCTGCACATTATGCTTCCTATGGCAAAGGGAGAGAGCCGCCTCCGTACCCCTTTCTTCAGAAGCATGGTTGAAATGCGAAGTGTTCGAGCACATTTAGGCGGCACGTCCCATCCATGGAACTTCAAAAGGGCGATATCCTCCTCTGCATCCAGTGATTTTATGTAATCAATGACCTCATCGGCATAAGGCTTGCGCGCTTGTGGCCAGTACAGCCAGTCAAATGTAATATCTTCAAACTGCAGGAACAACAAAAATAAAATCAGCGACAAAAATAACACACATAAACGAAACAAAAATAAATGTCAAACACAGCAACAACACACATAAAATTACTCAGTTAAGCAAAAATGAAGCGAAGGCAGTACGTACACTTTCGGGCAAGCAGTACCCGTGATCAATTGGAATCAGCACAGTCTGGCCACCTTCACCCTCCTTGCTCAGCAATATATTTCCAGCATGCCTATCCGCATTTGCCAATCTAATATCCAAAACAGAAATTTTATGGACTTCCTCAACTGGGAAAGTGGCAGGGCCCATGTCCTCACAACTTCCATTATTCTCCATGAACTTCTGCAAGGACCCAATCTTGACAATTGCATCCTTGGGATGGTTGAATGCACTATGAAAGCACTTGACTATAAATGTTGGGGGGACCCCAGCAAAGCCCTTTGCATTACCAGACAGCATGCGATGCCCACCCTTTGGGTGATCCAAAAGGTAAGCTGCAACTTCCCTGAATGCTCCTTCTCCAACTCTTGTTCCCTTTTTCAATCCTTCCCCATCAAGTGACAATGGAAGCCCCCTCGGATTGTTTAGAGCCATAGGCTCCTCATCAATTGGCTTAAAAACAGATACATACTTTTGCCCCGTTGAGTCGAGCATAAAATACGCTCCTCCTGTACCCTCCATGGACCTAATTGGATAACTCCCGCTATCTAATCCGTTAGATGTTTCATTAACCATATCCCAAATCAGGGATGGTAATTTAATCTTGGGGTTAACAATGACAGGCTCGAACAAAAAATCCCTGTCAGGAGGTTTTCTTGGCACAACTTCTTCATCAACTTCATAACCTCTCCTAAAGTCTTGTTCACCGACATCATATTGTCGCTTCACATTATCTCCATCAACTTCATAACTTTTCCCATCATTCAAATGTGATGCCACAACAGACAATTCAAAGTTCTTCTCAACTGGTCTGGCCCGAACTTTTGCAGATTTCCGAATCAACAAATGTAAGACAGCATCATTATGTTTACAAATGTCATCAATAAGTCTCTGATCCTCGAGTAATTTTCCATCACACACAACTTCTTGCTCTTCTAGATCAACAAACTCTTTACTCTTCTTTGCGATTTTTTGTTTCACATACCCAACATCTTTACCACGTTCCACGTGGAAAGTAAATTCTTTCCCACAAGTAGTTCGAACATTGATCTCCTGAAGGTCAGAAAGCCTAAGAACCAAATGTAAAACATTTCCATCTGTGACCCCGTATTCCCGGAGTATGGAATCGCTCCTAGCAAGTTCCCTACCTCCACAAACTAACTTCTGCTTCTTAGCAACAAACCCTTTATAGGTTTGGATCCTAAACTTAACTGACTCAATAGAGTCAGATTCCAAAACACTCATGGGAGTAGTTGATCCAGAAACAGAGAGAAATATCATAATTGACTCATTTGATGACAGACACGATTGCGAAAACATGGGCTCACTATGAGCCGGTGTAAGAGCAGCAATACCGGCCGACGACATTTTGCTCTTAATTTGAAAAATTGCAAGAAAGTCAAAAGCTCTTCAGACAAATGCAGAACTTTCAAACCCTACGAAAATTTCACAACTTTACAAGAATGCAGCCATTCCGAATCCTAAATTCACCACATGATTGCTACCCAGATGATCAAACAAACCCTAGATTCAATATTCACAAACTATACAGCAAAAGGAACAAACTTGAATACCCCTCCCCTTCCAAAACGAAAGGGAAAAAGCCCCCCAGGCAGAAACCCTATAAATTCATCACCTGGGAATATAAAAAAACACAAATTGAGCCCCCAGAAACCAATTGGCAAATCAAAAACCCAGTAGCTTGGGTTACAGCACTGAGACCATTGCCAAAAATCCCAAAAAAAAAAAGTAAAAAAATTATCAACAAAGATTTCGATTCTTACCAAGAAGGAAGAACCGAAGAAGTGAAGGGTGCTCGATTAGATTTGTCGTATAGCAGCTAGGGTTTGTAATTTTGAAAGACAACAGGAGAGATGGACAAGAAAAGAGAGAGAGAGAGACAGAGAAGACGCGTGTAGCCGCCTGAAATATGCGTAGTGGAGGGGTGAGGGGTTGAATTTTGACGACGATTGCATTTATTATTTCCATTAATTTTAATTGCCGTAAGGAACATTCTCAGAAGCTACACGACAGCTTTTAGAGTACTGACCAAGTTAACAGGATGTGGTGGGAAAAGTTAAAGGGAAAATACTGAATTACGTGTGTTGTCCAATCTGGGGTTGCCACGTGTACGTGAGTAATGATGGGTTGATTATGCTAAATTAAGATTTTCTAAAACGGACTGGGTAAATTAGGAACTATACCTTTACCTAAAGAAAAAGAAATGGAGCTTTAAAATTCTTTGGAATTAAAAGTAGGAAAGTTGGATTTCCAACCCCCGCTGCAAGCTGGTCTTGCACTGAGCATGGGCCAGGCCAGCCATGACGAGTGCAGTTTTCCTGTTACCATTTCTCCTGTGCCCACCTGTTACCCATCTAACTTTTTGACATCTGTTCTTCCATTTAACTCGAAGTTAACAGTGTTAAGTTTAATTAAATTAAAAAATGAAAACTGAAAATTGAAGGGAAAAGAAGACCCAAGAGCGAACTCCCTCCCACCACCCCCAGCCGGCAGCAACCCCATCTCCAGCGAACTCCCTCCCACCACCCCTAGCCGGCAGCAACCCCATCTCCTTCTCACCGCCAGCAAAGCGCTTTTCTCTACCTCTGCCCCCCTTCTCTCTCTCTCTCTCTCTCTCTCTCTCTCTCCCCTTTGATTTCTCTGCTTCCCTCTCGATCTCCCTCTCTTTAAAAAAAGAGCAGTGCTCGATTGACGTTTCCTTGGGACAAATCTTTCATGGAAGCACTTTATCTATATGGGTTTGAGAGTTTCTTGAAGCAAATGGACATAGTGAGATGGCGGGTCTGATGAATGGGTGTGGTTGTGGAGATTAGATATAACTTGCGGTCCCATCATCCCATGGAGGCATAAACAAACCCATGGCGGATCTGATGAACTTGGTCTGGAGCAACAAAAACAAAGACATGGTTTTTGCTGAATAGATGAGGCGAGGAAATGGAGTTTGCTTTTTTAAATAAATTTTATTATGTGAAATAAAGTTAACAGTGTTAAATTTCTGTTAAGTCATGTAACACGTGTCAAAAATATAAAAAATAGATGAGGCGAGGAAATGGAGTTTGCTTTTTTAAATAAATTTTATTATGTGAAATAAAGTTAACAGTGTTAAATTTCTGTTAAGTCATGTAACACGTGTCAAAAATATAAGAAGAGAAACATGGGGGCACAAGGGAAATAGTAACAGAAAAACTGCGCTCAGCCATGACTGTCATTTTCAAGAATGAAAAAATAAAATAAAAAATTTGAATTTTTTTTTAAAGAATAAAATAAAATAATTAACTTTGTTAAAGGTGTTGAGAATATGCTAAAGTTGGCGGATCAAGTATAATTATCTTTTTAGACTTTAGAATAAGGGCAAGTTGGGCCGGTTGAAGATCGGCTTTTGGGCTTCGCAATCGGCTCTAAACTTTATGCTTCTTTTTCTTTTTTATTAACGAGAAAAGAGAAAAATGAGGAAATTCGAACTTGAAACAACTTTGATCGTAACTTGTAATTTGACATGTTGATAAACTGTATATGATTGAGTCTGGTTCAAAATGGAAAACAAGAACAGAAAAGAGCATGATACTTTTCTAGAATTTGCAGTACTTATGATGCTATACATATGAGAACATCTTGGTTTTGACCCTACAAATCACTGAAATTCAACCAAAATATGAACAACTAAGATATATAGAATTTGAATCTCCGTGCCGACATGGTGGTCTATCAGTGTAGAAGCTCTCAAGCAGTGAAGCTATATCTACACTGTACATTTTGCCTGTTTTACTGTGATGAGCATCCTCTTTCATCTTTTGTCAGCAAAACTTTTCCAAACAGGATAGTGTATGCTTCTCCATATTCTATATTCCATGCAGCAATATTTCTGGCTTCATGTATATAATTCGGATTTTTTATGCTTTAGAGTTCAGCACAAAGCTGGGAAATGTTAGAGATATGTCCCTGCAAGTGCGTATGGAAATATCAAAACTAAAATCCAAGGAAAATCACACCTGCAAACAGAAAAGGAGATGACAATTCTAAACTTTACCAAAAACTTGAAGGCTAGTGAATCTGCATTCTAAATGCAGATGCTTGCGGTGCAAGACGAAACGGGGATGATCTAAAAAATGCAAGACTTGCTCAGCTGTGTATTTCCAAACACCAGACAAGGTTTGCAGAACGTAGGACAACATACATCAAGTATGGAAGAGTCATGTTTTTCAGTAGAGAAGGATTATCTGCTACGTATTCCTTCCACTCTTCTTCGTCAATCCTGCCATCTGCTTTTCTATATGCTTCCATGAATGTCTGTGACATTGGTATAAGAAAGTATGATCATCGAGACAGAAAATGGGGAAAGTGCAATTATCAAGTGGAGTCAAATCCATACCTTGTCCACAATCATTTCAACAATATCATCTGAAAGAATCAAATCAGATTCGTTCAAAAGAGCCAGCACCATCTCCTTCAACTGTTTTTAACACAGAGGGGCTTTATGTCACTTAAAGCAAAAGTCATGAACATGAAAGATAACTACTAAGAAATTTGAACTCTCTTCATACTTATTTGTATTCAGAAAATAGTGATCGTCCTCAGGGCTGATGAAAGATGACCGGATCACTCTTTCAATCGTGAAAACAAAGTTAGATCAAAGACCAGAATGTAAGGTGCTGGTTCTACAATTGTCTAGCTTTCTGTAGTTCATTAAATAGTTAGCTGCTATATGAGTACCTTAATTTAGAGACAAATTTATGCATAAAAACTTGTTACTAAAAATAAACAGAACATGATGATGATTTTTAGGTTATACTTCAAAGTATGAGGTCTTAACTAAGCTGATTTAATTAATTTGACTAACCAATTATGACAATCAAGAATATCTATCTGTCTTCAATAGAAAGCTATTCCACAGGAAAATGAAAAACTTGTACGGTACCCAAGTTCTTTTAACTCAATGAACAACCAAATTGTAGCAGAAATATTGCAATGCACTTGGATCTGTTTGTGTGACAAAACATCTATGTATAGAAATAAAACGTCTTTATAGTATCAGAAAAATAATGGGTAGCTTATTTCCCCTGTTTCGTAGCAAACTGTTATGTTGGTGTTTCTTTCGTATACGGTATACTATTAGCAAAATGATGGGTAGCTTCTTTCCCCAGTTTTCTAGCAAACTGTTGGTGTTTCTAACTCACTATACTACTACAGAGACGGACCACCCTGTTCCTTATTAAGAAAGTCCACTCGTTATAGGCAGGCAGATTAACATCTCCTGATGTATTCGATATTCCTCCTTTGTCACCCCATAATAGATTGGTTTACTGTCTGAAAATGTGATGAAGTTCCAACCTAAAGCTGAACCCCCCACAATAGTTGGCTTAGGCTACCAACTGGTTTCTTATCTGTGCTGAGAGGTTTCTATACGTTTTTTGTTTTTTGTTTTTTGTTTTTCCCTTGAATGTTAATTTGGTAATGGGATTGATTGAGTGTAAAAAAGGGTGAGAAGCTCCTGCCCAATAATTATAATTGTAAAAAAGATGGATTCCTAATGGGTTAGTTCACTAGTAATTAGAATGTCACTTTCCAGTTCCACCCAACAATTGAATTCCTCCTAAATCAGGAATTGATTTTGTGTGTTTTTTAATTCTTTGATATGAAGTAAACGGCATGAATCCTCCATGATTGGAATTTAATTCCTAATTCTAATTCCAATTTCCTGATTAGTAAACACACCATAAATGGGTAATTAATTCCTTAATTTTCACACAAGTTTCCGGATTTCTATCCATATTAGGTTTCATCTTTATTCACTAATTTCCTCATAATTTTCAATTGCCTATATAAGGGGTATACATTAGGTCAGTGTTATACGAGGGCAATTGCCTAAACCCTTCAGTTTCATACACTAGTAAAAAATTCATCATTACTCTGTTGGAGTTTTGAGTTATGGATTCAGGTATGTTTTCTCATTCAAACAATTCTGTTTGCATATTAAATTTTCTTTTGTAATTTTGAAGACTGTTTTACCATAAAATCTCTGGTATATATTGCAAGTTGTTGTTATGATATCCTAATGTTTTGTGTAAATCAAATTATATAAATCATTCAGAATATTTTTTTTGGTTGGAATAGAAATCATTCAGAATTAATCATGCGTTATTTTGCTTAATTACATGCTTATCCTTAATTAGACTGTTTTTGAATTGTATGCTTTCCTATCTTTTGACTAATAAACGACGAAAATAAACAAGGGATGGGATCTACCTTTTTGGGGTTTGAATCGTTGGATTGTGGGTTGTTATATATTTGTTGTTTGCTGGTAGTCCTCTTATGTTGAATACCTTTTTGGCGTTTGGCGTGTTTATTTGCGCTCTGGTTTTATGAATTCCAGTTATTGACCAAAAAAAGTATGCATTCAATAGTTTTTATTTGGTTTGTTCAGTGCATAAAAACTCCTTATTAATTTTGTATCTGTATTTTACGTAACTATAGCCTCTCTAATTGATTTTTTTTTTTCTTTTTAATCTTCTCAGATTGGGCAAATTTGCCTGAGGAACTTTTGGATTCAATTTTGAGATTAGTGTTACAATCAAACTATACACAATCAAACTATATTCAGTTTAGTCGTGTTTGTATGTCATGGTATTGTGTAGCAAAAGATATTAAAAGGCATCCTTCTCCAATGGTTTTGATTCATACGGCCAAAAAAGATATATGGAATTTGTACAACGTTATGTTTGGTAATGTTCTTGATTTGCAATTTAAATTGCCGAAGAAGCGATTTTGTGGTTATGCAAAAGGATGGTTAATAGGTATGAATTTCAATTTGGTAGTGACCCTAATAAATCTGTCCTTTATGGTTAAAGGGAGAAAAAAGAGAAAAGAATCCTTCATCAATCTTCCTCCACTAGACAAAGGTAATCTTTGCCATGAAAGAACAATTGTCGAATTTGTCGTCAAGGCTACAATATCAGCCGATCCAATATTGGATGCCAACAATTGTGTTGTTGTTGTCATTTATGAGGGATCATGTAAATTAGCTTTCATTAGACTTAATAAAGACACAACATGGACTTACGTTGATCCAAGGTTGGAATACATTGGTCAAAGCTTGGATATGGTTCAAGATGTTGTTCATGTCAAAGAGAAGTTTTATGCTGTTAAAGGAGGGGGTCAACTTTTTTCTTTTGATATTATTACTCAATCCAAGCAATTGGTTGCAGAGGGCATGCAACATGATGATATGGAGGAGAAGGTATATCTTGTGGTTTTAAGTGATAAAGAATTATGGATGGTTCGAAGGTATGTTGCTTTTGGAGATGAGGATCGTGTGACGAAAAAAGTTAGAATATATGAATTGGATTTTGATAAGCATGAGTGGGTTGAGAAAGAAACCTTGGGTGATGTTGCTCTCTTTTTGGGTGATAACTTTTCAATATCTGTTTTGGCTTCGAATTTTTTAGGATGTCGGCCGAATTGCGTATACTTCAACCATGATCATGATCGTTATTGTGGTTATTTGAGAGGTTGTCTGCATCATGATTTTGGCGTGTATGACGTTAAAAGTCAGAGCTTTTCACAGTCTTTCGCTCCAAATATTACGGCTCTTATGAAGACAACCAAGAAACCTCCGTATTGGGTTGTGCCAACTTTTCAATTGTAACCAATAAAAAGAGAAGTTATATTTGTTATTATTCTTTACCTAGCCTATCAATAATTTAAATCCCCTTTTGTATTCTATAAGTGTTTCAATTGTAAACAATAATATATTTCTTATTATTCTTTATTGTTTTGTAGTTCACTCACTGGCTTTTATTGGGTAGTTTTACAATTATCGGGGTATAACGAAGTTCCCTTCTTTTTTTCTTTCTTCTTTTGGTAAAAAGGTATAAGTTAAAAAAAAAAAAACCCCACCCCTCCTCAGATATCGTCGAACTGCTACAGGTACCAAGTTACTTACGAAAAAATCAATTTGATCCATCAGTTTAAGATCTTCTATCTTTTTTTTCCCTAAACCCTATATCATTTATGAAAATTAAGCTAATTACTCCTTTTATTCTGTCTTCCAGGAAGATATACTGGATGAAACAGATAATTATGTCGATGTCCACAACAAGTGAACTCTGACCAATTTTTATTTTTTATGTTTCTCTTCTCTGTAAACTCCAAAGTCAACACTTTCAGTGTGTGTATATATTTGATATTAACAAATAATTACTTTGTTTCTGTTTGTTCCAGAATCAAAATCAACCTGCTTGCTACCATATTCAAGATCATCACCCTCAAAATCTCCAAGAAAATCTGCATCTCATATTTATTGGAGAACTCCAGAGCCATCCCCACTATCTTCATACAGCACTCCCATACTCCGATCTCCCACTTCCCCATGCATTCAACCTCCCATCTTCATAAGACCTCCTCTGTATGCTTCCCCTGCAAAATCAATGAATACTAGAAGATCGGCAGGCCCTATTTGCAGTTCACCATCCTCACATCGAGTATTGCTAAACTTTATATCAATTAATTCAGCACAAGTAAGATTAGCTGCATATAATAATATTATATTATGATTGTGTTTCAACTGGAGCTAGCTATATATATTGGACCTACATTACAACATATATGGTATACACACCCTCTAATGGAGAGAAACTTACCTATATCGCACGTTTAATGCACTTTTCTCTTTTATCGCTCATCACATTCTCGTCACATCATGTGATGAGAAATTGTGATGAGAAATAGAGACAACGAAAAGTATGGAACACATGTTACATGAAAGTTTTACTCTCCTATGATGACTGGTGAGCTAGTGATGACGTGGATCGATCGCTTTGACTCATTCCGCCTTTTGCTAATCTTTTCACTTCTGTGCTTTGACTTCATCATATGTTCCAGAATTTGTTTGTTTTTTCATTTCCTGATCGAATGTCATATACTTGCTTACTATTTTCGACCAATGTGGTGGGAATCGACCGGGTTAATAAGACCCTCCTCTCCTTTATCCCTGAATTGAAACACTGAGAGTAGTCAAACCTTAAAGTTAAAAAGAAAAACAAAATTAGGAATGCAGTCACAAAAACCCTCAAACTAGACATTTGATCTCTCTCCTGCTAAGAATAGAAAATCGCTAGTCTTGTAGCTAGAGGGTGGAAGCTAGGCCCTAGGAAAGAACCATGCTAATACTATATTGTATTGTATTATTGGTGGGAGGGGACCCACAAGACCATCACAAATTGATCTCCTTTTCTTGCAAGTGCTTCAATATATAATTTGACATATACAACCACACACGATGCATTTTCAGAGGTTTATTTCCGAATTTTCATGGACCATGCATATGCATACATATATAACAGAGATCATTTGCTAATTAACTTTGGGTTTTGGATTAATTTCCAATACCTTATCACGACAAGTAGTGTTTCCTACATATATATATCTTCCCAATTTGAACGTTTTCCTAGATCATCATCTC